CCCCCCCCCCCCCCCCCCCCCCCCCCCCCCCCCCCCCCCCCCCCCCACTGAGCGACTTTTTGGCCGGCGCGATTTTCAAATTTTCCTGAGTCGTTGCCTAATTTGGACCCGATTTTAAACCCCCCCCCCCCCTTGAAAAAATCCTGCGTACGCCACTGACGCAGACAACATGTCTTTTATGACATAATTGCACACGACATGCCCGCTGCTGCGACAGCAAAGAAGACAGTATCCCTCGAATTATTTGTACGCTGAAACGCCCATAGCACATCACGTGATCAAACAAATTTTGTTTTTTTATTTGATTTTCTTTCTGTATTTTTCAACTTAATAGAAAGTAATATACAAACTCGGTACATATATATATTATTTTAAAAAGTAAAAAAAAACATATGTAATCATATCTAAATATAAATCAATTAAATAATGATACCTTAAAACTAAAAATGTAGTTGATAAATCATTTCATCAAAACAAAATTAAAAAAAACTCTTCTACTAGAAGAGTAAACCCTTGATTACTTTCGACTACTACCCTACTTCAAACTATACTTGCAGTACACAAAGCAATTGTTTGACACAGGAGGCACCTGCAGATGTAATAAATCACCTTTTTCTTTGTCAATTGTCCTATTATTGAAACTTCACAGAGCCATAGAATTAGAATATAGTTACTATGGTTACCTTTGTCTGCTCGGGCTAATAATAGCCCATGAGCTTCTACCACGCTGAGCTGTTTGAAAGCCACCGTCTTATCGAAGATCATGCGAGGACTTAGCCCCTCTGTAACAAAGATGGAAGTAGTTCATGTTTAAAAACAGAAAAAGACTCTAACTTTCTTTAAAGGGGAATACCGAAGAAAACAGAAAAAATGGTCGAATCATACACCCTTCTCAAACTTAGTGCATGCATAAGACAACATCGTTTAGTTTATCACATTTGAAGGTTGCGTTAGGAGAACGACTACTTTGAAAATCGTATTCTAAACCATGTTTGATCGAGAGTTCCGCGAGAATATTAAGGCCCGATTTGATGGAGAGTCCATCCATATAACTAAGTTGGTTTTAATAAAAGCAGAAATATGACAGAAACAACTTTATTAGTGAAACGTTTACCAATATCCGATTGAAAATAGGAAAGTTATGAATTATTGTCATCAGTGAAACACAAATTGTTAACACAGTGACATATCTTGCGAGCTCCTTTCCTATTTCTTCTTCCTTTGCTCTGTGCAAAAAAAAATCATAAACTTTAATTTTCTTGATGACGGATTTATTTTTTCTTCAATACAAGGGTTGTATAAAATACAAATTTGCGATAGTTATATATAGGGTAAATGTATGATTGAAAATTAAGTTTTTATGAAGTTTATTAGTATAGGCCAAATGGGAGGGGACCTCGCAAGTAACATCAGATTCGCCAATTTGTGTTTGATTAATTGCAACTTCAAACATTCACAATCTTTTTTTTAACCAGTTTCTGCTCAAACTTTCACTAACCCGTTTCTTTCATTTATCGGTTTCTTTTAAAGCTTATCTGCCATAGTTTACAGGAGGGATTAGAGCGCCCTGCAAGGTCACTGGACAGGTGGTTATCTCATCCACTCAGCTCTCAGTTAACATAAGAAAAAGAGGATCATGGGGGACCAATGGTCACCGATTAGGCATTGTTTGTTGTATAGAGGGCGCTAGTAGCTACAAGTAGTGCAGTGGGTCTTTAAAACTAACTTAATACCAGGGTGGACTTGCCTTTTAAGGACAGACCCTTTTGAATTTTGTTGATTTAGTGTATTTAGAGGCAAAGAGTTTGTTGGTCTAATTATGATACAGACTTTGCATGAAATCAAACTAGACAATAACAGGGAATCTCCTTTAAGAACTACAATTTGCTGTAGCTCCCAGCAAAAATTCTTCATTAAGACGTCTCTGCACGTCGCTTCCTAAGATTTCTGGGTGATATTATGTTTCAAAATGAGACAAAATAAGCTTCACTTACCCTCGATTATGAAGACCCTGATTCCGTTCCAACTATCAGCTTGTCCCCTGAAGAGGGAAACAACGAGACAAATTTTGACATTTCCTCCAGCGAATGTCAAAAATCCATTAAAATGATATCTTTCATGTTTCAGAGATGCACAATGTTTCAAGGCTAGACATGAGCTAAGATATTTTATCAGTGATGAAAGATAACATTTTTTTTAGGAAACCTGACTCGAAGAGAATCAAAAGAGTTTGTTTTTTTTAGTAACAAAGTAGCATTTGGGCACATGCTAGGTTTCATATTACGACCGCTCACACAAGTTCCGTTTAGAAGATCGTCTGGTCGAAAATGTAATTTACAAAAGTAAAACAGCTCGTTTAATTGACCAATAAATTGGAAAGTTAGTTGAAATTTTAATTTCTTGGAAAACATTTCTTTAGAACCACCAAAGATTATTTAAGAATTTGGATTGAGGATTTTAAAACTCTCAACTATTATCATTCTATAGAAGTTTCTAAATCAATAGGACATTTCACAAAGCTTTTAGAACTGACATATATGAGAAGACATGTTTATACATATTTGTTTTAACTTATTGTATTCCACACTCTAGAATACACGGATGATCATGCGCAGACAGGTTGTACGTTATGACGAGAGGCGCTCGTTTTTGCAAAGGTTCATAATTCCGAAAATTAAATAGGAAATTTAACAATACTTTTCTATTTCCTTAAGACATGTTTTGCTTATTTTTGTTACATAGGTTCGCAATTTTAAGATAACGATGCAGTGTTGCAATTTATGCAATATGTTCCATTTTTGGAAGTACGAATCCAATTCCATTTTCGGAATTATGAACCCTACTCTATTACAAAAATAGTATCTTCCGAACGGATAGAATTCTTATTATGAATGAAAGCTGAAACTATAGACATACCCCACGAATCTCCGCAAACAATCTCGAACAGGAAGTCATTCTGGATGCATTGCGGTTCCCAAGGCTGAAGTAGAGAGAACCAAAAAAAAAAATTGATTGATTTTTTTTAATTTTTTTTTTTTAAAGGTTTTCATTATTCGAATTCTGTAAATTATAAAGATTGAAGCTTGTGTTAGAGGCTTTAGTAGTAGTGACAGACAAGAGAAGATATTTATCGAACGGAAATGTAAAAATCGAACGAAAAGAGGAAAAAGGAAAAGAGAGAAAAAACACACATTAATGTTGAGAAAGACCACAGCTGAAAAAGAAGGGGGAAAAAGAGAAAGAAAAGCACCTCCACACAAAATAACAATATAGGCTTCGAATGTAGGGCAACGGGTGGCGAATAATTGGTACTTAACATTCGTATAAAAGAAAGAAAAAAAGAGAGGTAAATGATAGTAGAGAGAGAGATAGGGAAAGAAACGATAAAGAGAGAAATATTGAATTTCACCGTCAGCTTGATAATCTTACCTCTCTTTTGAGTAAACTCGTCGATGCAAGGCTTGTGGGGGCATCCCCCTTCACGATAGTTTTGAGTTTAAGAATCTGATAAGAAATTTAAAAAGAAAGACTGTTGTTTAAACAAGAGTAACATTAGTTATGGCACAAAGACTTACTTGTTATCGGCATCCCGCATTGGTCTATAGGCTATCTCCATATCATTTATGCTATTTATTTTTTTAATTTTATCATAGGAGCACTTCGTGCAATTTCAAAAATGTTAACAGATAGAAAATGGATATTTAAAGGGAAAGTCCACCCCCAAAATAAGTTTGTTTCGATAGAGGCAGAATAATAAAAAAATCAGGTGAGTGAAAGTTTGAGCAAATTCTGAATGAAAATAAGAAAGTTATGAATTATTGAAGTTGTGATCAATCAAATACAAATTGGCAACTCTGTGACTTATTATACGAGCTCTCCTTCATTTGCTTTGTGCATAATATTCCATAAAATCATGTTTTCTTCGTTATTGATGACGGAATATATATTTGTTCCTTGCAGGGGGAGTATAGAAACATATTTGCAATTATTATATTTAGGGTGCATGTATGGTTGAAATTTTTCTTGAGGGAAAATGAAAATTTTAGATTTTTTTAGTACTGAGCAAATGGAAGTTGAGCTCGCATGATACGTCATAGAGTTGCCAATTTGTGTTTGATTGATCACAACTTCAATAATTCATAACTTTCTTATTTCATTCAGAATTTGCTCAAACTTTCACTCACCTGATTTTCTTATTATTCTGCCTCTATCGAAACAAACTTATTTTGGGGGTGGACTTTCCCTTTAAGGGCTCTAAAAGACTACGAAATAAAATTGTTTGTTCTCTCTTTCACTACCAATCTCTCTGTATCTTGGCATTCACCCCTTTTTCTATCTCCTTTCTCTCTCTCCTCCCTCTCTGTCTTTCTTTCTCTTACTCCTTCTCACGCTTGTTGATCCATCTTCCCAAGACTCTCTCTCTCTCTCTATCTCTCTCGCTCTTATTGACCCCCTCCCCACGACTTTCTCACTCTCTCTCTCTCTCTCTCTCTCTCTCTCTCTCTTTCTCTCTTTCACTCACTTTGACCCCTCTCTCACACTCTCTCCCCCGTATACGTTACCTCTCCCCCACAACTCTCTCCCTTCTCTCTCCTCAAGTCACTGACCTGTCCGATCTTGACAAACTCTGCTTGTCTGGCTTCTTCTTTCTTACTTCTCCAGCCCCAGACGGGGTCAGGGATGACGTCACTGAATGACCTCTTGTTCAGCATGTTTTGCTGATGAAAATCACAGACAGAAAAGGAACAAGATTAAAAACATAGTCCCTCAAACTGATTTCTTCATTAATCTTAGTAATAAAGACAGCCAGGGTAAGGTTTCTCTTTTATCGACAAACCGAATCTTGTTTCTTGATTGCATCAGGAATATTCATGTACAATGTAGCTTGGTATAGGGCTTCAGTATAACCTGAGACGGCTTTTGCAACTGTCCTGTCCCAAACCTTTTTAACAATACCGGAAATTAAATTAGAGAAGCAGCGCTGGATAGAATATTCATCACCATTCTCATCTTAACCGCTGTAGATACACGATTGACACAAAGTAACATTAGTTAAAAACCTAAGAATATCAGTAACTCACAACACTCTAAATAGAACAGAACAAGTAATGATGATAATTAATGGTGAGTCCGCTAAGTTGGTCTAAAAAACACACATCCCACTTATGCATTTAAATCGTTGTGATGGTTTTCCCGAAACACAAATCAATAACTCCTATCATATCGGGGTTAAAACATGGAGTGTATTTATTATATTGAACGAGGGGTAAAAAATGCGAAATATCCGATTTCTCTACAAATATCTAACTCTTTATATGCCACACTGCCCTGTGCCACATTGTATTTATCACGGATTGATATACCAAAGGCTTCAAGATTGTTTCACTGTTTCCAGTGCAATTGTAATCTACACTGGGCCCTGTCTTTCAAAGAGTTGCGATTGATCCGAATCAGTCGAAATTCCTCTAATCAGTCGCAAGTTTGCATTCCACTTTCTCTTATGTACATAATATTTCCGATCGATATCAATCGCAAATAAGTTGCGATCAATTTCAACTCTTCATACGACGGGGCGCGATATTTAAAGGGGTACCATCAAGACCGGAAGTAGATCATTTGGGGAAGTCATTGTGTAGTACTAAGCAATCCTTTTGTCAATTGGTGCCTGTCGTTTTGTGCAAAATTAGACGTGTGGCAGACAGGCGACTGTGTAATGAGGCGTAGAAAGCATTCGAAGTGTTAGACCTGGCTTCATACCTTATTCGTCTCTTGCATCATATCTTGTTGCAGGTTTTTGATAAGCATTTCCAATGTTCGTTGGCGCTTGTTGGCAAAGATAGGCGTGTTGAAGGCAGCTTTTTCCCCGTTAATGACTGCGGATGAAATCAAATGAAAGATATTAACACAACCTTAAGGGGACACTTGGTAGTACAGAAGAGACACACTGATTGTACTTCGAAACCTACGACTTTTTGTTTGGTTAATTACTGTGGAATTCATTATTTCATATCTGGAACTAGCTAGGCCTATAGGAATAAGAACGATATTGGTCTAGGGGTGGTATAGTATTATTATTACTAGTAGTAGTAGTAGTAGTTGTTGTTGTAGATGTAGTAGTAGTCTTTGTAGTTGTAATAATAGTAGTAGTAATAATAGTAGTAGTAGAAGTAGTAGTAGTAGTAGTAGCAGCAGTAGTAGTAGTAGTAGAAGTAGTAGTAGTAGTAGTAGTAGTAGTAGTAGTAGTAATAATAATAATAATAATAATAATAATAGTAGTAGTAGTAGTAGTAGTAGTAGTAGTAGTAGTAATAATCGTAGTTGTAGTCTATGTCTCTTTTCTATCGTGGTATACTGTCTCACATTAGAGGTTGATTGCAATATTACTATAACTCGATGTTCTATGCCATTCTAATCGGTACTTGGTGATACATGGATAGGTGGAAAAAAAACGGATAAATCATAATAAATGGTTAAATAGTAATGACAACAATTCAGGAAGGGTTAGATAAACATTTCAGCGTAACAACTATTTTTTTCTTCATGTAAGCCCCCCTCCCCCCCCCCCACTCCCAAAGGGGGATCCTTAGCTTACGTTTGACGAGCAGGAAATCTCGGAAAGCCCGGTGATCGTCGAACACAGCAGGGGCAGGCAGCGGTGGACCAAATAAAGGCACTGACTCTTCAGAGTACACTCGTAACCTACCAACAAACAAATAAACAAAGAAATAAGTAAACAAAATAATCAAATAAAAAAAAAACATACCAAAAAAAACACGTATAAATACATGACTGATAGGGTAATTTTGATAACTTGAAGGATTGTGGTTGGAAATCAGATTCATATAACGTAATGTGTCATTCTAATGTTCGCAGAGAGACAAACAACCGTACAAGGCTACTGAAATCGCCCTAGTTTTTTTTCCCGAAAGTCTTTGTCTTCCACTTGACTTAACAAAAAAACTTGTTTCAAGTAATGCGAAATATATATACATATTTGTATAATGAGAAATGAAATGGACCTTAACCTAAATAATTTTGCAGTAGTAATACAAACATGACAGCTAAGATTATGAAGGATTTTGTTATTAGAAAAGTATTAACTAGTATATACTTTGCCATTAAAAAAAAGAAGAAAAACAGATTTGTAATCTACATAATAAGCTTACCTATAAGTATCTTCGTTCTTGTTGTATGTTACCAATGCAAATATGTCTGTTTTTATAAAAAGTCATCGTCAAGGAATATTCATCAAATAAGTCATCTTTCCTCTGAAACAGATTATGAACTTTAAAAATCTGTAAACAAAATTTAAGTTAAAGGCCTCGTGCTCTAGCCAGTCGCTTCATCTGGTCGAATGGTAAATGACCGGTTTGAGTCTCATGCATGTGTCTGGATAATCTTTACCAAGACATTGGTCTACACTTGCCTCTCTGAATCCAGGTGTAGTAAATAATCACCTGATAGAAAGTATTTCCTTGATTGCCTTCAGCAACCCAAGGCAGCTTAGATAAAACCAAGTCCTAACTTTAGGTGCCTTGATCATCCCCTGGAATATGAATTATCGTCATTACTCTATTCTACTTCTATTCATTAACGCAGTGAGGAATAGGTGATATCAGATAATACAAAGGTAAGTCTAATCCTGTTTTAATTTGTCGTACAGAGACGTATGCGGATTTTATTGTTAACGAATTTGTTGATCACAACTATAGAAAATTTTAACTCCTACCATATTTCAACCTGTTTTCCAATTTGAAGGAGCTTAATCATGTTAATAGAATTGTTAATATATTTTTGTACTTGCTAGGCCTGACAATACATAATCTTGCTATCACTGTGTCTGAGATGTTTTTGTGTTTATACAGTCTAATACTTCCAATCAATTCGGATCTTAATCCAAAAACCGAAAACTCATTCCAAATGAAAAATTTATTTTATTCTGGGTTTCTTCAGTAATTGTTTGATTATTTGCAGGATATTAGCGTGGGGCCATTTTTCTGTAAACAACATGTTTTTCTTTATAAATGTTATGCTTCCTGGGAGAAATTTCAATTATTTAAACATATGTGTGGCTTACACCCAGTAAATAAGATCGATTTTTTCATGTTTTTCTTTATCTGATTACAGCTCTTTAGAACTTTGAGGGATTATACTGCACGGAATGTTATCCCCTGATTGATATATATCTTGACAGGGGGGTAACGATTGAGGACATAGAGACAAACTTTGGTAAACAATATCACAAACAGAAAACTTGTATAGAGCCAGACCATCTTCAACTGGGGCGGAAATAGAGGGAGAAGGCAATTTCGGGGGCATACTAAGGAGGGGGGGGGGGTGTAGAAAATATGATAGCCTCGTTTGGGAGGTTTGTAATATACTTTTAAGACCTGAGCCTCCTGTTTCTGTGGTCGCCCATCCTCAACAACAATAAACTTAAAATATATATATATATATATATATATATATATATATAATATATATATATATCTCTTCCCGATATTCTGACACAGGCAAAATATGAGAAAATGATAAACAATAATAAACAATAATAATATAATTTAACAGATGGATCAATACATAAATGCATCAATCAATATATCAATAAAAATAAAAGATAAAAATACAAATGTGGGGTCATAGGTCAAAGGATACGTGTGAAGTGTGACCTGATCATCGAAGGCTTGAAGAAGACTTCATCTTCCGGGTCTTCGGCATCCATGAAGACAATAGTTACGATATCATTACCAACATGTCGTTTTCTCTCGACCTGCAAAATACGGGTTATGAGGAGAAAACAACTTTATTGAAATGGTGTAGCATTGACAAAACTTGATCACAATCGAAAAAGAAAAAAATTAAAAAATTAAATAGAGCATTTTCTAAAGCTCTTTGCATCACCCTTTGTAACGTCCAAACTTTAGAATCAGATAATACATGAGTCTAACATTTCTACAGGCAAAACATTTGGGTATTGAAATTGCCATTGATTTTTGGTGAAATCAGCAAGATTATCACCAGATACCATTTTTTGAAGAATAATATTATGCTGGCAAATTAAATCATCTTATGATAAGGAAAGATATATTACACGAACAAAATTTAAAGAAAAGAACTTCCGGAAAAAATGGTTTGTGATTACCCAAATGTTTTTAAATGTTTTTGTAATACATAATTGGAATGCGAATCATATTTTGCTATGATTATGTTCATCATTGTATATGACCGGTATAGATACTACTAATGATAATGATGATAGTTATTGGATTGATATAGCGGGTTTTCCAGAAGATACAAGTCCCTTAGTGTAAGGACAAATTAAAGATAAACTTGAGTTCTGGTAAAAAAAAGAAAATGAATTCTCACAGAATCTAACGAAACTTACACTGAATGTTCAAGATTACAAATAAATGTCATGTGCCGAGCAATTTTGGAAGAAAATGTATACTGGCTAAGAAATGAGCATAGAAAGATAAGGAAATCAAGGGTTAGTACCCTCGACACCATTTGTGTTGTCCCATATACATCCTTATGTGTACAGTGCTTGTTTCTTTACCAAGACTGGGACAAATTTATTATGATTTTGATGACTCCAGAACCTTGCAGTACACACCAATACTTACATGCTACATGATCAACTTTTTCTGATCCATTCCACACATTTTCTTTCACAATGCAATCGCATTACCAGAACTCACCTTTATCTTTAAGAAGAATTGGAAAAGTGTGTTTTAAGATATTCTTTGAAGAGCAATGGAAAGAAGAATCAATTCAAATGTAATTACTAATGTACCTGTTGTTTGTTATCTTTGGAATAAGGCAGCGAGGTAGATACGTGAAACATAACCTCATGTCCCTCGTACATAGTGTAGATTGATTCTGTACCCGTGGTGTTGTCTGGAAGAAACAATCAAATACATCAGTAAATAAATGAATGAATTACGAAAGAAATGAAGAAATTAATGAATAGTTAATACAAATTTATTTAAAAGCTATTGATTGAATATATACATGAATAGAAAAATGAGTAAATAGATAAGTAGATCGTTAAATAAATGAATGAATAAAGAATATTACTTAATAAAATACATAAACAATGACATAAATGAATGAATAAAGAAAATTACTGAATAAATAAATAAACAATGATATAAATGAATAAAAATTAAAATATAGTAAAATTTAAAAAAATGGTGAGAAAATTAAATAAAAGATATATTCACTAATAAATTAACAAAAATTGAAAGAACACTCATTGACTTCATGAAGACATGCTGAAGACAGGCGCGTACGCAGGGGGTGTTTTGGGGGTTAACCCCCCCCCCCTTTGGAATTTGTACGTGTATAAACCCCCCCTAAAAAAAATCCCAACCCCCCCCCCCCCCTTTGGTTTTTAAAATTTTTTTTTATTTAAAAAAAAAAAGATTAATAATAATAATTAAAAAAATAAAAATATTCCCATGGCTGACCTAAAAAAGGTGACCTTACCCCTCCCCCCCAACGGAGCAAAATGTCAAATTTTCAAATTTCGAGACCAAAAAAAAAAAAAAATGTCCTCTTACGCCTCCCCCTACCCTTTGTTATTCCTTTTTGGGGCAGGAGAAAGAAACAAAAAAGTCCTGTATTCGATAAATAGTGCTGACGGTTGTTCACCGTTTTAGAGTTGACAAATTTCCTAGGCATCTGGCATGCAGATCAAATGGCAAAATCCTTATTTATTTTTAAATAAAATACATGTATGCTCGTGTTTTTTAGGAGATATATCCTTTTACATCCCCGCGAGGAGCTAATATGATTACCAAGTTCTCCCAAAGACAACCATCTGGGGTTTGCTGCAGACACCAGGATGGGCCGATGGCAAACTGCTCATCAATGTTATGATTGATGAGATCGTATTCGATCTCCACACGCACACTGAAAGCGTATAGGCCTATGTGTATGGTATTGAGATATACATTTCACCTCGATCGATGAACATTGTAAATTTTGTTTTTGTCTTTCCTTTTTCCATCCAAGAGACACAACGTACTGATCCTTTATATATTTAATTGTCTTTATTTCTTGTCTATATTTGAGTTTATGCCATTAAAATGAATTCCAACGTGAAAATTTATTTTTTTAGAATTGAAAAAACCCTATTCCGCTTCGCTGCTTCCAGGGCATGAAATACCAGCCTAGATAGAGGAATAGACGATCGTTGAACACCAAGGGGGCAGCGATGTGACACCACTCTACACCGCTCTATTTACGCATAATAGCACAGAGCAAGATTGATCGGGAGTATCCGGTCATGACCGATGCTAGTAAACATGGCAGTCGATGGTCCCGAATTCCAGTCGATTGGGTCTTCCGGCAGAGTATCGAGCGATTTATGAAAGTAACCAAGGAGGCAGGAGTAGGAAGGGAAAGAAGAAATGAAAGGGGAAAGAGAGGGTGAGATAGATTGATAGATAGATTGAAATATATATAGAGAGAGAGAGGGAGAGAGAGAGAGAGAGAGGGGGGGGGGGGAGATTGATTGTGTCTTTTGACAAAATATACATGGTACAGTATGACCGGTGTACGATGAAAGTGTAAACTTAGATGTGGGAGGAGGTGGGTGACCATAAGTAGGCCTAAATGGAATGTGGAAAGGTAGAGAGAGGAAGAAAATAAGGATATGAAAAGAGAGATATGGAGACGGAGAGAGGGGAATAGAGGAAGATGGAAAAGTAGAGAAAAAGGGAGGTGGAATGGGAGAAAAAGGAGGAAGGAAAAGAAAGAGAAGGAGAGCGTGGGAGCTAGACAACGAGAGCAAAGTAGGACTATTGAGCGGGGTATATTTGAGGGTAAATGTTAATGGAGAGATAGAAAGTGGAGAGATGAAAAGAGGGATATGGAGACGGAGAAATGGGACGCCACAAAGAGACAGAGAGAGAGATAGAGGGTCTTCCGGCAAGGTACGAAGGCGTATTGGGTGATTAATGAAAGATACCAAGGACCTGGAGGGAAAAAGTGAATGAAAAGAGAGAGAGAGAGAGAGAGAGAGAGAGAGGGGGTGTGGAGGGGTGTGAGCAAAAGAGGGGAGGAGAGGCATAATGAGGAGGGGAGGCAAAAGGGGAGATGGTATGGGAAAGAAAGAGAGAGGGAGAGAGAGAGAGAGAGAGAGGAGAAATGGGGGGGAGTTAGATATAGAAAGATAGGGATCAATAAATACAGAAAGAAAGAGAGAGAAAGAGAAAGAGAAAGAAAGTAAGATATATATGTGGAGAGAACAAGGGTGATAGCGATCGGGGAAAGACTGGGATGAGATGAGATGAGAAATGCATAAGAAGGTGACAAAGCGGAGGAAACGATGGGTTAACAGGGTGGTGAGGAGGGGTAATGGGCAATGAGGCGATTTGAAAGGAGGGGGATCGATCTTTCACGAGTTGAGAAAATATTGATAAGATGGTGTACCACAAGGGAGAGCACCGCAGACGAATAAAAGAAGATAATTTGAGACTAATTGAAGAGAGAGAGAGAGAGAGAGAGAGAGAGAGAGATAGCAGAGCGACCGAGAGAAGCACTGGGAATGGATGAATCTCTACCTGTTTACGACATCTACGACATCCACAACATCACGAAGCCTGGAATTCCTCCGTGGTCAATCAATGATTTTCTTTACTCCGATCATAAGGGGAAATGTTGTGATTTATATATCACTTGAACTTTTTATAGCCTTAACAAAATTCGGTAGATAGCGGTCAGGAGGTTTTACTCCTCACCCTATATCTGACATTTGCCTCAGTCTCAATGCTCTGCATTTCCTTAGGTAACATCCATTAGCCGATCAATTTTTCACCGCTTCGAAGTATGCTTTTATACACGAGATTAAGATGCATGAACCTGTATGCCTCTGGCGTCGTTTTCTAGTCGCCAATTACAAACAAATCTCAATCACGAATGGAAGGGGTGGTGACATAAAAAGATGCCGATTCAATATCGGTATACAACTTGGTTTCCATATTGGGCACCAAGCTGTGGTGAGAAGCTGGCCATGTTGGTTGCGGAAGCCGGCCTTAACTTGGGTTCCGCGCGCGCCCTTTTCTACGCAGTTGTGTACGGTACGTTATATACTCAACAATACGAATTCTTGTTTACTGAGAGAGTATTTAGACTGCAATACCTCTTTGTAGAAGTAATATTTATAGCTTATATTTTAAATACAGTATAGCGACATTCAACCCTTACTCAACAAACAACTTTTCATAAAAGTTGAGATCATTAAAAACTGGTCCTGGGTATAAGGTGAAACGGTAAAGCATCTAGTATCGTCCGATCCTCATAATGACAGCGTTAACGACTCGAAATAGTATTAGTGCTCATTTTCTAAGTCGGCACCGCTCTTGAACTTGTACCATCCCTTGCTTAAAACGGTTTCGCCAAAGAAAGAAATCAACTGAAATGGTCTCACCCAAGAAAAAAACAACTAAACTAGTCCCGAGGAATAAGCTCGCCCAAGAAACATACCAACTGCTGTTCATGATGGGATTGATAATATTTGTTCATCGGGATAACAAAGAACACTTTCTGAATATGAGAACATTCTTGACGTACATGCAACTAGTTTGCCACTACACTTGTCATACCCCTTTTTATGGTCTCGCCCCCCCCCCCCAAAAAAAAAAAACAGTCCCGAGCAATAAACTCGCCTAAGAAACAATCTAAGTGCAATTCACGCCGGGATTGCAAATCGTGTTTAATCGAGCTGCACCACGAAACTGAACTTGTTTACATAAAAAATGTTAGACTATAACAGTTTCTTACTTTTGACGTCGAGACCGCCGTTGAACTTGTCCCACCCCTTGAGTGTAATGGTCTCGCCCAAGAGAGAAACCAACTTCCGGAAGGCCTCTGATCCATGCTCTGCAAGGGAGGGACAAGGTGTGATCAAAAATCGATCAAGTATCATTCGATTATTCATGCACATAATTATGATTGGCTTAGGCAACGCCACGGGCCAAAAAGACCAGTTTACTGAGGTATTTAAAATACAGAAACGTAGTGTAGATCCCAAAGGAAGAATACTCTATAGATTATCCAACAGTTTAGTAAACAGAGGGACAACTCATGGCTGCAAGGAAAATTACATCTAGATATGAGATACTAAACTAAGTTACCAGTTACACGTACACACCTTTACAAATGGCTAATTGTAGGGGTACCTTTACAGAGGAAGATAAGAGAGGGAGTGGACACAAGAAGATTACACACGCACACACGCACATGACGAAACCGGTAAAAGTGAAGAACTGAACGCTTAATGATTTTTGTTTCAACTTTTTAAATCATTATCTGTATGTATATACAAAAATAGTCCTGCGGCGGTTGACGAAAAATAGACAAGCAGAGATTAAATAATGAAACAATTATTTCTTCTTCACGTCTATATCATATATATTTAGAAGAGAGAGAGGAAGAGAGAGAAGAGCAAGAGAGGGAAAGGGGAGAGAGAGAGAGAGAGAGAGAGAAGAGAGAGAGGGAAAGAGAGGAAAAAAGAAAGAGAGAAAGAGAAAGAGAGAGAGAGAGAGAAAGAGGAAAAGAAAGAAAACGAAAGAGAAGAGAAGATATATAGAGAAAAATCAAGCAGTAAAAAGTAAAACTGCGGTTTCTATAGCGTAATGAATGGCCTACCATTGCTGAACATTTCGTCATCTGATTTCTGACCGTTCTTAGCATAGAGAACACCGAACTTGAAGTTCACTGACCCCTCTTGCTCTTCCAACAGCAGTAGCTCCTGTGAGACACAAAATGAGTAACAAAAGAACATCGCCGTAAAAATACTTGATAAAATGGCGAATAGATGATATTATTATTCTTTGTTGTAAGATAGTAATGTCTTTGCCACATTACAGTGTACCGTAGTTTTATGAAACCAGGGGTGTTTCACAGTCTAATTTAACTCCAAGTTGGACTTGGAGTTAAATTAACATTATGGATAGCTATTTGTAGCGTTGAAATGAAATATATTCAAAAGCAAAAAGTCAAGTATTTTAGACTTTTTATAACTTTTCATAAATTCCACATTTAAGCACATGAAATCTCTTTCATAATAGAAAATATGAATGACTTGAAACTGCATTTTTTGCCTTTTAAAGCTTCTTTTACAAAATATTTTCAAAGATGCTAGCGGCTTTCTATAATTGTTAAGTCCATCTCCAGTCGGGCCATGATCATTTTTAGAGATAAGTTCAACTTAGGATCTTTGTGAAACACCCCCCCCCCCCCTCCCCTCCCTCACCCAGAGGCCCTTGAGACCGAATGTTTCGGTCTCATGAACCACTAGACTAATGGAGAGACACCCTCTGTCTCCTGGACCCTCTGACTAGTCGTAAGAACGTCCTCCAGACCGATGCTTTTGGGTCTCTTTGATCTGGCTTTTGGATCCAATCTGGTTTTGGGAGCCTACTCGTTAGTTATTAAAACGAATGCGGGACATTTTTATATTGTTATGTGAAATGACGTTGAAGAAATTATGTGAATGAGCAGAAAAGAGAACTGTATGAAAGAGAAAAGTTACCTTTTGAATGTCTGGTGTATAGATTTCCTTCGGTGACTTCTCTGATTTGATGTTGAATCGGCTGCGTATTAAAAGCACAAACATAACATTAAATGATTTACTATTTATGATTTACTATATATATATATATAATATGAGCGTCTATATCAGCTATTATAAATGCATGTATATCAATCAATTCGTTGTGACATAATTCGATATAACAAAAATACTTTTAAATTGATGTGCTAAGATTTAATGACACTTAAGAGACGATCATGGATCATCGTTTGTCGACTATCATCTTAATATACGAATGATAGCTTACGGAAGAAGGTACGTGGGTGTACATCTTTAAATCTTTCGAAAAATACAAGCCATTTATCATCATCAGTAATACCAGGGATAATTCATCTTCGTCGCAAACAACATTTAAATCTATGGACCGTTATAGGCACCCATCATCAAGTTAAAGAGGAAGATAAATAATATCCAACGTGAAGATTTGCATATTAATAATCAAATTATTCTTAAGTGGCATCTAAACGGTAAACATCTCATGCTTTCATTGAACCCTTAGGAGCCATTATACTAACTGTGATTGCTTTCAATGTATTTATACATATATCTACATAAATCTTTCTCATAAATGCATCTCAATTTAAGGTAAATAGTTATACGTTTTGTCCCTTGGGTTCGATTGTCAGATTTCTGCATCACGACCTTTTCCATCATTAATTTGACATGCATTCGAGATGAATTCATTGCATATAAAATAGTACTCTAATTTCATTTACACCTCAAGAGATTCATTTTAACTTTGCCAATAGTCTTCCATTATCATTAGCAGAGCTTCTTAGTGATATTAGAATGTAATGCGCCAAGGGAATCTTCGCGTTAATATAAACATGATTATAGGCAGAGAGCAATCTATCTAAATTGATTAACGTTTGCAAATTTTAAGTTTTTTTGTTGAAAAATCAACCTACACAGAACTGATTTTTTAGTTTCTAATAAAGACACTGCAGCCGTGATTATTTGACGAAAATGTGCGTCAGTTCTTTTCGCCTGCAAATATTCAAGGTTTCCAGAGGAAAATGCATAATATATAAATTGCAGTGAAAAATATCACGATTTTAGAAAATACTACGGAGTGAAGTCAAACCTACACCAAACTTCAAGATTCATTATAGCCATTTATAGACACTGCAGCTGTGGTTGTTAAAGAAAAATCTACGTCAGTGCTTTTCGCTTGCAAATGTTAAAGGTTTTCAGAGGACAATGCAAAAATATGATTAGCATGTGAATAATTAACAAATATCATGATTTTTGAGAAGAGGATGCGTTAAAAGATATGTCATGGGTCAGGATGATAATGATCATGATCGGAGAGGCCTTAGAGCATGCAATGTCATGACAAGAGTGCCAAAAAAAAGGAAAACAAATCGGAACGATTTTTTTTTTAACACTGATGCGACGGCACTACCGGCATTTTATCATTTTATGAACATTATGTTGCCATGTTTATCATTGTTCCAAGAACAGGTAATGCCATCATTTTTATTGTTTTACGAACATTTAAAGCCAATACTTTTATTTTTTTTTTTTTTTTTTATTACCCTTATGCTATTGTCGCCATTTGTATGAGTTGAAAGCTTCCATTATTTAGCTAGTAAGTTTGCTGAAATGCACGAGCACAAGTTAGGGAATGCAATTTGATATAGTTTAAGCATCACCGAAAAGCGCCTAGCGAAGATGAGTATTTAAAAACAAATGTGTTGCCGTGTTGAACCAGTGAGGGGAGAAGGGGAAGGTGGGTGTGGCATGTAGCTTCTATTTTGATTTCTCTATGGGATTTTAAAAATATTTTCTCTTTGGTAGACACATTTATGGCGACCCACCTCCTTGTGGCCACCTTCCTATCTACTCGAGTTGGCTGTTCAACCATTTGTATGTGCCATAATGTCCTTAGAAGGGAACTTAAATATTTTCAGCCTGTCATATACCAAAATTTATATTCACAGGTGTTTGCTTTTGGAGCATCAAAGATGACAGTCACGGCCATATATAAAATAATATTCATATCTCTTCTTCCTAATGTTCTGGACATGTTCATGCTATGCTCGTGCAGTTCATCTCATGCGTGATCTCTTTCATCATCCCTTTCATCATCTCTTTCTGCATCTTTTCCACAACAAGTTGGTTGCCTAGCAACAGGACCCTTGATCTCAGCACGTTTTTTCGAAGCGCTCATCACAAATGAGCTGCGTCTCCTTGAATATCAAACTAATTCCAATAACATTCTGACATTATGATCACAGCATAATAGCAATATATTTTGTACTTCCCCGATTTTCCAACGTTCCATCGAGGAAAGATCGTGACAAAAAATAGCGACTTAAAGAGAAAATTGAGCTCTGGTAGAGATGACACTTAATTTAAATGAGCTTTTTCATTCTTTTCAAATGTAAGTAATGAAGTTCGGTTGTTCCTCACATAGATCGACATAAGTTAAGAAAAATAGCTGAAAAGTTTGGGGCAAACGTTCATGCCATATGACAGTGTGCGTGTGAGCGTTTATATGTAAAGAGTTTATATGTAAAGTACCATACTGATTTTTGTGTGCAATACAAGTGATTTTTCTCCAACACGGAGTCAATGTCCTTTCATTTTGGTCATTTAAAATATAATTCAATACATCAATTGTGACGAACCCTATAATCAACCTTTAACCAAGGACTTCCAAATAATTCCTTTCCAAATAAATACAATCGCATGACCAGTACTCAAATTTATCTGGAAGAATCTTGTTTTCAGGAGCGAATTTTCTATAAAAATTGAATTTATGTAAGAACTAGGTTAAACCTAGGTTAAAGTAATATCGTCTGTAAAAGCGAAAATGCCACGAGGAGATGTATTTCATGAACTCTATTCAGGGGTACCTATTTATTGGCAGAATGATTTTTATTTGTATGAGATCGACGAAGGGATTTATTACACGACTACTTACCCAAGTATTCTTTTCACTGACATCGACTTAGCCGAGTTGTACGGTATACAGATCTTTTGTGTTCCCTGTGGAAGAAATATGAAACGGGAGAAACATGAGAAAAATGAAATAAACAGATAACTGTACAAATCAGACGGCTAATACCCCGGTAACTCATCTATGAGACTGACACGAAACTGACAATAACATCATCCAGAATGGCAGAATATATCTTGTCGAATATCGAATCGTTGGAGTCGGCGTGGAGGTGTTACTTAGTCAAACTAAGGTTTTGAATAATTTATCAGCATTTTGAATGTGTACAAAACAATGGATATATTATTAAGTTCGTTTGTAAAGTAGGATTTCGAGAAGCAAATTATACAGATTAAAGGAACGAGACGAAAATCAATTCAATTATTTTTTTTCTTCTTGTATTCAGTATAGCTGGCGACCTTTATGCAAAACAATAATTCATGTGTCACTCGTTCAATGTTGACACAATGACATTGTGTACCGTGAACATAATATGCAGTTTCTCACATGCGAGTAAACGATTTCCATGACAATTTAACCTGGACAAAAATGAAACAAAATGGCCTTTCCTTCTGTATATCTATAATTTGTTCCTACAATGGACAGTGCCCAAACCGTATACAGTACCCAAACCGCACGATCTTCACATGAATAGAGGACAAGTCATAAAAACATCTTCGAGCCAGGAGGGATTTAAACCTATACAACTTCTTCTGCTATCCGGGCAGGAAATTCACCACAATCCATTTTGCATTTGCTGATCGTGCAGGGAATTTCAATATATAAAGTTACATGAATTTTTGATTTGAATTTACATCTTATTAGTATGGATGTTGTACACTAGTACCGACATGAATACTTGATTTTTAAAAAGGAAACAAACAATCTAACAAATATAGAAGGACCATCAATAATTGAGTGCTTATTGCTGGTTCCATTTTAAACGAACGAAAACTACGCTCGCAATGGCCTCTTTAATCATTCATCATTTTGTGGAGATGAAAGTTTATGAAGCCCCATCTATAAAAACGTGAACATGCGTACGTGACAAACACACGACAAGATGGTTTGGTGATCAATTTTCTGACGGACGATTTAAATCATAATGAATAAACTAAAAGATAATCCGCTGTGGACTATGGGATAAACACAAGGTGCAAGGCGTCTTTGCAACGTTGTTCTTTTGCTACATTTTTAAAGGAGAACTCGGGGCAGATATAAAATATTCTAAATCGTATGCTGGAGTAAGTAGGGTAGGAACTTCCGTTAAATGGTTGGGAATGTCTCCCAGTAAAAGAAATAAAAGTAGAATGAGGAGAAACCGGTTAATTAATGAGAGTTTCTAAGAAATTGGACAACTTCGTTAAAGGTACTATGTCCCTTTTGCAGCCAACCTCAAATTCTGTAGAATTTTGCAGGAATTATGAATATGTCATGTTTGTCCTATCTGTGAAATTTAAACGTTAGCAGTGTCCTCATATTCCAATTATGCAACGAAACCCATTTACTTGCTAGACTTCACTGTCAGACACTATTGAGTGACTGACTGGCTTTTTTTCTTCATTGGTAATAACATACATGAAAAGAGTTGTAAAGGGTACATGAGCATTTGTCTACATCAATAACCCACTTCTTGTAATGGCCGAGATTAAACTGATTGAATCTTTGCGCGGCATAAAACGTATGACCATTCGGTACAATTGTCTGAAAATCAAGACTATTACTTTGGGCTCTATAGCCCTAAAGTCGATTTGACAACTAATAGTCGTTATTTTCCCACTTGAAGACATTTTCAAGCCCCACCTTTTTAGGGAAGTTCTAAATTAGTATTATCTTTCAAATGCAATTGGAATTTAATAACTTTTTCATTTTTTGGCCTGCAAATGGGACATAGTACCTTTAATGAGAGTTTCTAAGAAATTGGACAACTTCGTCTTGAGAGTTATGAATCTTTTTTAAAGAGATGAAGATTTAGGGTAATCTTATGAAGACGAATTGGCGATTCGGTCATGAAGTTGCAAAGGAATTATATGTGCCTTATCATTCATTACTTACGTTATAAACTTTTAACACTCTTTTATAAAGTAAGAACAATATCGGTCCTAAAACTGAACCTTGAGGAACACCATAACAACATGAATAACAATAATAATAATACAAGTCATGATGATTTTAAAACAAGAAATAATAATAAATGTGTGTTCTTGTATAGCGCTCATATCTGACAGACTTGACGCTCCTGGCGCTCCACAATTATTATCCCGGGTTTAGCATGGCTGCCATTGTGGTGCTCTAGCATTTCAAGGAATTAATTCCTTCTAGGTGCCCATTTACCTCACCTGGTTCGAGTGTGGTAAATGTAGATTAATGTCTTACCAAAAAACTTTAATGCCGCGGCAGGACTCAAACTCAAAGAGCGAACCATTTGATCCACAGTCCGGTGACGTATCCACTAGACCACGACAAATCTTCTTTATTAGTTGTAAATGTCTGAAACATTTAAAACCCCTTTCTCTTATTTTTGTGTATTCCTGTGAAACCAGCTACCCCAGGACCGTGTTTGCTTTTTGATTCGAAGAAAGTATCAAGAACACAATAACCTGAACATGCCTCTCGAGATTAATCGCTGTCCCCCAACACCTCGCAGTGATATTCGAGACGTCTTCATTAGGCAGAAAACGGGGATCAGCGAATCCCAGGCATTATGGGATTTACAGCGGTTTATGATTCGATTACAGTCATAAGCCTGAGAAGGTTAAAGAATGCAGATGTCTCAGGTTGTTTACTTTCTCAGGAAAGTATGCGCCAAAGGCTGCCTTTGCTAGATTTCTGCAGCCCATCAGCAGCTTTTTAAAACACACTTCATCCCGATAACTTAGAAATTCTATCAAGAGTGGTCTTGCAACAATTTCATAAAAGTCCGTTTTAAACGCAAAAAGGAAACCTCAGAGATAGAGATTGTTTTTTGTCTTTTCTTCTGGTTACTGCTGAATGTTCATGTTATTGTTGTTTTCTTAGTTTAACAGTACATATCATTCAATTCTGAATATTTGCAGATTCAAGTTCAAGTTTGCCAAATAACCCGCCATTTTCAGACTCTGTATATTTTACCGAAGCTCGAAATTGCGTCCTCACCAGACCAATTTGAGCTCGGTCTAGTTTGGCAAACTCGAGCTGATGAAAGCAGGTCTACTAAGTAGGTGTGCGATCAGAGGAAACCAGAGGATGGGCGAAAAACCTTATACGTGCATAGGAGTTGCGCCCCTCCCCACCACCTCCATTATAGTGTGGGCTTCTTGCACCTCTTCTGGATCAGGTCTGATTCAGAGATTAAAATCTTAAAATGATTGAAATCGTAAGTAAGAAGATTTGTATTTGTAGCAAACTCTTTGAAAACAACTATCCATTTCAATATATTTCTGATTTGTCTCGAAAGCCGAAGAAACACTAAACAACATGATTTACTGATGAGCTAAGCTGGGGTTTCCAGGTTTTGGGTATCGCAGCATGTTTGTTTTGGGTGATGCTTGCAGAAAATACATTTCAAGTATCGCTTTCTGAAATCTCAGGAGCCACTTCTGAGACTTCCTTTTGCTCGTCAGGAACCGATTTCAATCTTCGTAATTGCTGTTATGACAGGCTTCTTGTCTGAATATGTTTTTAATTCGCTTTTCACATCCGTTCAATCTCTCAAAACAGTACTAAATTTATATCTTAACTTAGACTTTGTCTACAGGCCATCCCCAAACTAATTGTTTTTAGTTTTCAATTTAACTTATGGACGGAGTTGGATAATAATCATGTTGAATTTTATCTTCTTCTCCTCCTCCTCCTCCTCTTCTTCTTTTTCTTCTCCTCTTCTTATTTTTTCTTCATCTACTTCTTTCTTCTCTTTCTACTCTTTAGTACACGTTCCACATACTTAGCAATCTATAGGAAATTAAAATTCACGAATATCGATTTATATCACGACTTAAACAAACATTATCACGAATAAAAAAAACACAATAAAATCCCTGTTCCTGTGATGTTTGCAATTTCTGGAATTGCGAAATTTCGTAATTATTTTTGCTTACCGTTTTTCTCCACAAGATCGCTCTGTATTGGGGCACATTGTGATTGTTAGCGTCTGTAAGAACTACGGAGAGGAAGAAGATATTCTTTTCCACATCTGCTCCTACGTAGTTTTGATGAACTATGGAGATAAACAAAGACCCGAGTGTTAAAAATAAGGCTCACAACAATTTACTACATACACGTACGTCATGACACTTAAAATAGAGAGAGAGGAAGATATAGAGATAGAGAGAGAGAGAGAGAGAGAGAGGGGGGGAGGAAGGGGGGGGGAGAGAGGGGGTGCAATGTGTTTGTTGACAATACGAAACAAATAAGAACAACAAAAAAAAGAAAAAGAAAAGGACAAACAAGAAGATACGAACTGTATTTTGAAAAAATCATAACATTTTGCGATTTGAGGACAAGGATCGAAAAGTTGATAATCAACCAAAAGGAAATTCTCAGAGAGAGAGAGAGAGAGATTGCGATTTATCCGAATCAATCGCAAGTTTGCAGTCCCTTATCTCATAAGACGGGGTCAAGAATAGTTACTATGGAGATTCATATATTTTCATCATACTTTCGTTGATATATTACAGGACATATAAAACACAGCATTAAAATCGAAGAATCTAGTCAGAAAATCACATTTTTGAGGAAATGGCGCTGATAATATCAAAGGTCAAAAGTCCACTCGGAGAAAAGTCATTATACATGGACATTCCCAAATTTAGAAAGATATTTTCTATAAACTAACTAAAGCGGCGTTAGGGTATTTATATATTTAGTAAGGTTTCTTGTAAGCTCTTTCCAAACCAAAATAGAAACAACTGCATATAATCAATTTCACATAAGATTCTCATTTTAACGATTAATCTTTGTTAGAACTTCAGGAAAGAAAAACCATACAAAGGAGCTACATAAAGTTGCATTCTTGATATTTTATCATCACGTAAGGAAACAACAATACATATAGCTTCCTCCACTCTTGAAATACACCTCAGAAAGCAGCTGTGAGCGTCCTGATTTGTTATTTATTATTTGTTAAGACTATCTCTTTTTACACCGGAATTGTTGTCATGGTTACTGTAAAAGGAAACACTCGATACTTTCTAGCGCCTTGCTATTCAAATATATTTTTGGATCTGGTAACAAAAACTTATACACTGTCTCTCCTTACTATCTAAATGATGAGTAGGGACAAACATTATCATGAGGATAGAAAAAAATGAAGATTTTTTTTTTAATGAGAAACAAATAACAACCCCCAAGCATAGCGGATGAAATAAAATTTTAAACAAAATTTGTAGCTATTCTTATATTTAAATAAAGCTTTTGAGACCTGGCCCCGTCTTATAAAGAGTTAATAATCAATCGCAACTTATTTGCGATTGATATTAATTGCAACTCTGTACATAAGAAATAAGAGACTGAAAAACTGCGATTGAATGGAGGACTTACAATTGATATAGATCAATCTTAACTCTTAAGATGGGGTCCTGATATTTAATTTCTTTGTTTCTTTCTCAGCGCATCAACACCTTCTGCCGAAATAATAATGATTAGCAATTCGGTTCTTAACATTACTTTGCAACTTTTTCGAGAGTTTTTTCATTATTACTATAGTTGAACTTTGAATCGTTGAATCCAGAAAATACCACCATGTTAATTAGCTTTTAATGCTACAGTTTAAAACTTACTTTTTCCAAGAAAGTACTTGAAATACCACCGTGTGTGGTATTCTGGGTTCTCGAGGTGAACGTCACTTCCGGTTGCCATCGTCGAGATCTGAAATTACAAAGAGAGACATTTTGATAAAATGCAAAATTACTTTGCCAACGAAATATTAAACAAAATAGTTATGCATCACGCGATCTGGTGATAATCCGCCCCTTCCCAGTCATTCTCGTTACTTCAAACCTGGACTACACCCCAATGTATTCGTATCCCTAAACCTAATTTAGTTCTACTCTTTTTTCATACTTCATAATATCCCCATCCTTTTATTAAATGATAAATAATAAAGTAGGACGCATTTATAGACACATTACGCATAGCTTGCGGTGGGGTGGAGTTTCCATCCCATCCAATACGTTGCCGACCTGTTACCCAGGGTACCGATTTTTCTATAATTTCGATTTCCTCTCTCTCTCTCTCTCTCTCTCTCTCTCTCTCTCTCTCTCATTTTCCTTTCCCTCTCTCCTTCTCTTAACATTTTTCTTTACTTTTTTTTCTTTCTTTTTCTCTACGCCGCTTCCCCCTCCCTTTTTTTAAATCCAGCTAGTAAAAGATTATTACTTATTAAACAAAGTTTCAACATCTAGTATGGTAAGAAGGAATGGAACAGACCCTGAAGAAAAGAAGGATGTAAAAAAGATAACAACTACTACGACTACAATTACGGCAACATCAGACTACTCTGATCAGCTGATGAAGTTAGTCGAAACAAAAAAAAAGAGTGCCGAAACCGAGGGGAAAGACTGACAACCAAAATACTGTTCGAAAGGAGAACGTGGTCGATAGATATAAGGGTCCTTCCTATCCCGTGAGAGGAGGCTGCATAAATACACATTAAGGGAGAGAAAACAACTCTGTTTGCCGCCAAATATATATAAAGGGTGAGACGAGGTTGCTTTAGTTTGTCGTATGTCTATTTGATAAGAAACAAATAGATCTAAGACTTGCCCTTCGCTAATATGAACAGCGTCGAACGCGCATTGGTTTTAGGGGACGCATTACTTTTATTTTTTTTAATTTGTAGAGAATAAGATTTTGTCTGTGACAATGGGGACATACAGGAATGTAAACTAGTAAGTAAATGTAGACAATATTATGTGAGCCACTCTTTGTTTAAAGACCCTTTAACATTTCAGGAGCCCCCAGAATTTGATTACAACATTTTAATTAAATCACATCATAATGTGAAAATGTCGTTTAAGACACATTTCTGCAAGAATTTCCAAAACAATTGTGCTTGAAGTCGGATATTGATGAAAAAATGAAAAATTAGATTTTGTGCGTTCAACAGAAAACCCAAATTATGTATTCTTTTATCAATATTTGTCTTCACATACATTTTGGGGGAAACTATTTCCAGAAGTGTGTCTTGAATGGCATCCTCTTTTACATTATGATACAATTTAAGTGAAATTTCGCCATCATACTTCGGGCTTTAAAGTGGTACATCAGGAAGCTTCGACGTAGTGTGACTCCACCCATTAAGGGGTATTGGAATGATGGGTTGGGAGAGGAGAGGGGGGCATCGGCTTTACATGAATGCAAATTTACAAGGCTACTGTTGAGACGATGTGGGCGATGCTCCAGGCGTCCCTTGTCTTCTCTCTTTTCCCTCTTTTTCTTCCTTGCACACGCCCACCCCAGTGTCCGCTCCACGTACGCCACTACGTGCAGGAACGTCGAAGCAGGATGTTACTTGTAAGTGTTCTTTTTAAAGGTTCTCAAAATAAATTTAAAACCATTACCTTATGCCCTCTATACGAACTGCACCTACCAAAAGGTCCATAATTTTGTCAGGTAACAAACTATGGCAATCTCTTTCTGCTACCCTCAAAAGGTGTTCACTTTTAAACGTAGATATAAATAATTACCGTTAAACACATGCCCTCTCACCAACAATTAGAGTATTGTATAAATCATGTTATTAATGCAGCGTTTGCTTTTCTCCTTATTCGCATCTAATTTCACCGGTCAATATTTCTTCCGCTCTTCACATAGTTTCGATATTACTTTTCTTACTATTTCCTAGAAAAGCACAACGGCTAATTTCAAATTATATTTTCCCTCTTCCATTTCATAAGTCTTCTTGTCCTTCTTCTTCTACTCCTTCTTCTTGCAACGGCCAGCACGAATAAGATTTTCATTCTTTATCTCGATCTGTTCTCACGCTTTTTAGCTTCAAATGCATGTCAATGAGCGCACAAAACAAATTGCGGTTGTTTACAAAATAAATTCAAGCTATATACAAGAACTAAGGTAAAAACGTATTTCATTCTACTAAGATCGCGAATCCAATGGGAATATTAAAGGTATTTCGTTTTCAAAATTTGGAATTTCTTATTTATGACAAAAACGTGGATTTTGTACCTAGATGAAAAGGGCACTTATTGGTCAAATTGCAGATCTGCGTTATGTCTTATCTACGCAAACCCCATAAAGACGAGTTCACAGTTGTATAGATTTTATATGGAAAAACAGGAGATCTCTAATGATTTTATGTGCAGGAGAAACGTACATTGAAAATGACATTTCAGAAGAAAAAAAATCATTTCCAAGCTAGTGAAGTGTAGATAATTATGATCTTGTCGATCATTTCGAAGTGTGTTTAATGTAAAGTTTAATTAATTTTCATCTCAGTTTTCGATTAAAGTTCATTGACGAATAAGTGTCCAGTGTTAAGAACATGCCTTTTTGCTTAGACAACATTTGAAAGGTTTCATTGTGTTGACGATCATCGCTAAATGACGCAGATTCACCGCTTCAAAATTAATGGACTTTATTCATTGGAAATTTATTTGTATGTCACAAAGCTTGAAGACATTTTATCGAAAAGCTTTTCTGTAGTATGAAGAAATAGCGTTAAGTGTCCAGAAATATATATTAACGTGGACTTCTGATCTGTGAATGTCTATTCTGGAAGAAAACGCCAAAGATATGTTTTCGGAAGTCATGATAGCATTATCTCAAAAGACATGAAACACATAACGCGATGAGCAGTTAGCATTCGTTACTGATGAAGGTATTCTACATTTATGGAAGTAGAATACGTACAGGAAAACAGATGAGTCACTTGCTCACATTAGGGTCACAATTATTTGTAACACTAGGAAGAATAAGCTCCAAGGCACGGGTCCAGGTACTCGATTGGTAGACTGTATAAATAAGAAACCCTTTCTGGGTTATGCTATGACAGAATGTTTAACCTGATTACATTTTATTGATCTTTTGTCATATGCCAGTGGCCAGGTCTCTGGCTATCACTTGCTGATATCTTGTTTCTGCACTAAACATTCTCCGCCAATCGGGTTATGTTAGATTTAGGGCACGATAATATCGAATTTTTCACTTCATGAACAACGTGAAACGCAGAGCACAAAGTAGGGGCTATGCATACATACACCTATAGTCTATAAGCCCGCGCTTAACGAAAGTTACGATTGATCACAAGTTTGTAGGATCGATCGCACATTTCCAAATTACAAACCAACTTAGTCCTATGCGGTCGTACCAAGAAACAGTCAGGCGCCATCTTGTTCACGTTGAATACGCTAATAAAGCCTATATAGGAAATTAGCGCATGCGCCATTAGTTATTCAGTAAACTGTACATTTTTCTGACGTTTATGTATTAAAGCTGTCACTCTCGCATGGCATGTCAAAGGTCAAATTTCACTTTCTGACTTAGTGTGTTCATCTCTCTAACACTATGATTTATTCATGAACTTGACGAAGGCAAATTGACGCATCAAACGCACATTGACGGCACTCAGTGCGTTAAGACCTAATGCTTGATGCACACGAAGCGTCAGTCTTTACAATGACGTAGGACTGAGTCACTGACTTTCTTGCTCCTTGACGCACCACGCGAGAGAAATACGAAAATTAAATGCAAAAATGAACAATATCAAACCTAGGATTTCATTATTGGCGCATGCACTGAGTGCTTACATGATTTATGTTCGATTACCGTAGATAACGACGCAATCAAAATGACGCTTCCTCGAAGCTGGCCTACGTCACCGAACTAATAGTTTCATCATCGGATTATGGAACATGTTCTAGAAAGGCGTTGCATTCATGAAACATGACTATACAATTAAGACAACGCCCCCCCCCCCCCGAGATGCAATGATATACATGTAGTAAAAACAATCCACTGTTGACCATTAACCGGATGTTGTCAAGACCTGGACTTGATGCGATTGACCAATAAGAAAATAGTTGAACTTATTTTTCTGATTATCTTGAAGGCACGTGTCTTAATAATCTGCTCTTTTCTTCTTTTTTTTTTTACTGGTTTTTCTGTATTTTGGTTCCATTTATATTATTTTGTTGTATTACTCTATCCCTCTTTTCATCTTTTTCTCCTCTCTCTCACTTCGGATCGCATCAATTCTCAAGGTTGTCATGGCAAGACGAGAAGAAATTAAATCGTACCGGAAACATTGGCGTGAAATGACATGACATTTCGATATTAAACATTTATCATTTTTAACAGCTTTACTTGAATGCAAATTTCAAGGCTATTTGTGAGACGGTGCGGGAGATGCTCATGGCGTATTATTTTCTCGGCAATTTCCCCATTTGTAATGACATATGCAGTACTATATGACTATATCCGGAAGGGGTAGTTACATTATAAAGTGAAATAGAGAGGTAAGGAAAGCTTGAGGAGAAAACTACAAGTTTGGCTAACAAAGAACTAGTATATCGGATCGTAGTCATGGTAACTTAATTTCAAAGTTATCAGTATTTTATTCCATCTTTTAAACAATCCCATTTCATATAAGTTAAGTAATTTATAGAAGAAAAACAAAATCTGTATTTTGTTGTAACTCACTATTATTTGCCAGAAAAGAAGAAGCTCATCGTGTTATAGTTACTTGTTAAATTGTTTAAATTTCCCTGGCATGCATGCGAATCTTTTCAAATTCTACTTTTGTTTTTTATTCACCATTGTTTTCTGGATTTTTTTGCCGAATAAATAATAGCAATAAAAGTTATAATAATGATAGTAATAATAATGATAATAATAAAAATAATATTAATCATACAAATAATGAAAAAATTGAAAATAATTATACCACTACTATTATCAATGTTAATAATAATAATATAAAAAAAGAAGAAGAAAAAGGAGAAGAAGAGGAATTTGAAGAAGAGGAATTTGAAGAATAAGAAAAATAAGGAGAACGAAAAAAAAAATAGAAGAAGAAGAGGGGGCAGAAGAATAAGCTGATGAAAAGGAAGAAAATAAAGGTATTAATGGAAAAGAGGGAAGAAAGCATATACTTGGAGGTAAGTGACTGAAGCTGGGAGGGAGGCAAAGGAAATTGGGGGGGGGGGGTGGGTGTGGCTACAGACTGATAGTATTGGATTCCACGGATGCTACGAACTGTATCAAGGAAGAATTAGGGGCACATACTACAAGGAATGATAGATTGGTGGGGCTCCAAAATGAATGTCATCTTTAATCTTGATTACAAGAATGACAACAACGGAAGGAAAAGATCTAGCTTCCGCGAAACAGAGAAATGTTTTCACGAAAGGAAGGAGTGAATGAATTGATACACTGTGTGGAAATGGACAGAGATGGATTGAGAGAATGGTAAGAGAGGAAGAGAGATAAAGACAGGAACAGATAGAGAGAGGGAGAGGGAGAGGGAGAGGGAGAGAGAGAGAGAGAGAGAGAGATAGAGAGAGAGAGAGAGAGAGAGAGAGAGAGAGAGACAGAGAGACAGATACGAAAGACATTGGAGAGACACAGATAGATACATACGACGGAGAGAGATAGAGAGAAAAAAAGGAGAAATATATAAAGAAAGGAAAAGAGACAGAGGTTAAAAGTGAAAGAAAAACAGAAGAGAGAGAGAGAGAGAGAAAGAGTGAGAGAGAAAGAGAGAGAGAGAGAGAAAGTAAGAAAGAGAGAGGGAGAGAGAAGGGGAGGGAGGGAGGGGAAAAATGAAGGGAAGTTTAGCAAGAAAGAGAGAAAGAGGGAGGGGGAAGCAGTTAGAAAATAATTATGATACAATCAAACCAAAATTTACGTCTCTTCTTAAAATGGAAAATGACAAAGTAAGAACATAAAGAGACTTTGAAGAAGAAAAAATGGTTTTAATTTACCTCATCCCTCTCACCATCTTCGACTCGGAAGCGCCCCGTGGATATCCCCTCTCGATCCGTGGCAACCAACTGAAAGATAAGAAGAAAAACAAATTTAATGAGAAGACGAAAACAAAATAACTTCAACGCAAAATGGGATGACAAACTGGTAACCTTGTTATCAAAATTTCGACCACCATCCAGTGTTAAGTGACGCCAAATATAACACTTCGGTTGCTTTACTTCTTCGCCTCTCCGCACAGTCGCTGCATGGTTCTCCGTATGCAATGGCGGATCCAGGGGGGGGGGGTAAAATGTTACCTTTATTTGGGCCCCCTCCTGGTGCCCGAGGGGGGGGGGGGGGTGCGATTTTTTAATTTTCGAGGGGCGGAAAAAAATGTTAGTGCTCCCTACCCCAATAATTGAACGTGCTTTACCCACCACCTGTATCAGACCGGCAAGCTGTCGATAAAGATAAAGTTTTCAGTACATTTGAACAGTCATTCGCATAGACGCATAGTGAATATAAATTCCCATTTGTATTACAGTGAACCTGTGTATTAAGAATACCAATCAATACAAGACCTCTCTTGCAGGGTAGATTTACATTTGAATTTGAATGAGTTTGAATAACAAGTGACGACATGCCCCCCCCCCCCTCCCTCCAATCCCCCGACGCGACTGTTTCTCATGACCTCTATTAAACCATGCTTACAAAACGACACAATTTATTCCAATTTAACTTTCATCGTGTTCAGAATCCCGTAGAGGTGGGTTCGCATTCAGGTATACTTTATTAATTAATGTTCTCCGTCCTTCACCTCGTGCATGTATGCGAAGTAATGTGCTTATGAGGAAAGAAAAGGTCACATGCGAATAATGCGATTGAGGAGGAGCTTTCCTGTGTCAAGGGACAGAGACATGGACAGGCCGGAAAAGAGAGAGGGAGAGAGAGAGGGAGAGAGAGAGAGAGAGAGAGAGAGAGAGAGCGGGAGGGGGGAGATAAGGGAGAGAAACCACTCCAGTTCCCCACACACAAAAAGGGGGAGAGAGAGAGAGAGATAGAGAGGGAGAGGGAGAGAGAGAGGGAGAGAGAGAAGGGGGGGGAGAGAGAGAGAGAGAGAGAGAGGGGGGGGAGAGAGAGGGGGGGTGGGGGAGGAAGGGGTCATTCTACAACCCACAGGGTATCCAATTTCCAAAGTTATAATAGATAGGGAAAGAAAAGCACCGTTAACTTCCAGGTGTTTTAATGTTTTCTTAGAGGCGACAATTTGACGTTATTGCAGCCTACAAGAAAACTAGCTGAAAAAGAAAAAAATTAAGAAGATAGGCTGAAGCTAGCGACTGGCGGAGAATGTAATTTGTCGCCCGCAGTGTCAATGCCAGTGTGAACAGCGTCAATACCCGGAAGATAATTAAGCGCGTCCATGGTGTACTCAAGACATTAATCCTATCTTCCGCTTTGACTTAACGCGCGAACGAGAGCGATAATATTATGAAGGGATATCGTCCTCGAAAGTAACCTTTCGGTGTTGTCTGCCGAGCATTTAGACTTTATTAGAAAAAAGCCTTCAAGGGCACAGATATTTATAAGGTAGAATAATTTCACGGTATTTTATTTATTTACAATGATCTCTTGGCAACTCTCTGCGGAACGGGGAGGGAGGCAGTGGCGGATCCAGGAAAAAAAATCATTTAAAATCACGTGATTTTTACCTTTTTGGGGGGTTGGGCCCCCCCCCCCCCCTGGCGCTCAAGGGGGGGGGGGTGCAAATTGAAATTTTTTTTGAGGATCAAAAAAAAAAAGTGCTCTGTGTCGTAGTCCAGTGGTTTAAATTGTTAGGCTTGACTTGAAATTCAAAGTTCGTGGTTCGATCCCCAACACGACACTAATGTCCTTTGGCAAGGCATTAGTCTACATTTGCCACTCAATAGCCAAGAGAGAAATGGGGACCTGGTAGGATGACAAAACTATTTGTATTATGCCTATGCCCTCACGGTGACCATGTGGTAGGAATACTCCCCAGAGACGGAGGAGATGGTGCACATTGTGCGTGAATGAATCCGATGACCGGGGTAATAATATCTGTAAAGCACTTTGAGACGGTATTCCGTATTTAGCGATATATAAATCCAGATTATTATTATTAGAGCAATCGTATAAAACATATGTACGAATATAGTGGGGATGGGGGCGGGAGCGGTAGAACAGAAGAGAGAGAAATCAGATTAGGGAGGTATAAGAGGAAGAGGAGGAGAAGGAGAAGAATGAGGGGCAGGAGAGGGAGAAAAGGGGACAGGAGAGGGAGAAAAGGGGGAAGTAGAGAAGAGGGAGAAGGAGGAGGGGTTACTTGTTACTTGTAGAGATAATCCCGATGGCAGCTATCATACAGCTAAACTGGGGTAAGAGAAGGAGGACAAGGAGGTGGAGGATCGAAATTGGGAAGAGAAGGATCGAGATGGAAATGAGGAGGAGAATAAGGAGGAAGTACGGAAGGGCGAGGCCCGGATAGTGAGGTGGAGGAAGAGGAGAAAAAGAGAAGATGCAAGAGAGAGATGATGAGGACGAGATAGCCTCATAGCTGTCATCAAATAATGATACAAATGACGTTAGCTTTATTTACAAGCAGAATTACCTGAGATGAGTTTTATCGCGGGTACGATCAACTTACACCCCTGTGTATACAAATAGTGACCTATCAATTCCACCTTGAATACGAGATAATCAAATTGCTATCTATAAATGTATTTCAGAAGCAAATTATCTCTCTATTAAAGGTCAATACACGTCCCATGGGGATGGGTGTGAATGTGATAGTGATCAATTTTCCCTTCCTTCAATCATAACCTTTAGTCCGATCCGTGACATCGCTAGAGAAGAGCGGACAAACACCATTTGTATTATTGAGATTAATTCGTTCCCAGTCCACGACTCGAGCTTCCGTGTTGTTCTACCGACTAGAGCTTTGTATTTCTGTGTATGTTTTTATTTATTTATTTATCAATTTATTAATTTATTAAGTTTTATTTGAGTAGGGTGGTTCCATTGAAGCCAGCACATAAACTTAATGCGGTGCTTTTCATGGAACCCCTACATTATACAGGTACATAAAAAAAACATCACATTTAATACAAAACAACACAAATTTAACGCATAACTAGGTTATAGTATAGTTTTCCTCATTGTTAATTAATTATTTTTGTAATACACTATTATAATTTTGTCGTATTGCAATGAGCATTAATGAATTCTGTATTTTAAAAAAAAAAGTTGTATATTTCCATAATCAGGCCATGATGGATAATACCATTGCTGATCATGTGTTTATCCTCAATTATGCTTCCATACACACTAGAATCGTTAACGAATATTGAAGTTTGAGCAGATTTAGAGAGCACATAATTTTGATTATTTTGCTTGCTTACAATGATTATGAACGAGGCGGATTACTTGGAGAAATGTGTAAACAAAAATTATATTGTAATCGGCAGTTTCACCTAATTTTGTCAAAATTTTGGTCATCAAAACCTGTGCATAAATATATCCTTCTGCGTGTATTATTACCTAAATTAAAGCTTTATGTATTTTCATCCCACAATAAATTATATTCTTTTTCGAATTGTGAACGAGGCCATAAACGACAGTCTGATACAGTATTTTTTTTCAACAGATGAATGAACTCCAGAAGTAGTCGTCGTAAGTTCGTTTATTACGCAATTTTTCGAGGCTATAGTACCAGGCAAATCATTCAATCAGACTCATTCAGACACGATAATCAAATCAAGTACAGGAACGTGCAAGTGGTAATTAAATTGATCACTTAAAATTACCGAAAAACGCACACGTATCTTGCATAACCGATATACTCACTGAACTCTACACTACGTAGTTGTGAGTTCAATTGATAAATTCCAAGAAAAATTGGCTGTTCGCATGTTCCTTTATCCGAGGCACACAACACTGTCTCAAGGAGCAGTCGTTAAATGGATTAATGTGTCATCTTTTCGACGAAACCCAATTAACTCATAATATGCCCATTTTTTATGTTTAATATTCCAGAATCATATTCTGGCACACTTCGCCTGAGTCTTCGTCAAAGGTCATAGAAATGGTTCCTTATAGTTAATTGGCATTCATTAATGGACGCATGCTTCGCTCGCGAGATGGAGAAAGACGTAAGTGAATGAAACTGCATTGCATCTTTATTACAGCTCATTTACGGTAATCGTAACTCCTCTCCTTCACCATCTTCACTTCCAGAAACATACCTAGTTTGTCAACGACATTTCTACCGCATATGGTAACGCGACTTTGGCGTAACGTAAGTCTGCCTATAGGGGGGGGGGCACTGGTCTAGCTCGGATAATTAAAGGCTCCTTATTAGCGGAAGGGTGCGGGACATGATGCATGCGTCTGCTTTCCTCTTTCCTTTCATCTTCTCCCTTTTTCTTTTTTTCAATCTTTTGTCTTTCTTTCGTTTTCTTACCACTCAGAGTGGCGGAGCCCCCCCCCCCCTACTCCGTGCAACTACGCCGCTATATGGAGACACGCTGGCTTACACTTCTAAGAAACTATGGCGATATCTTAATGTGGTTGCAAGCTTCCACATTAAATAAGTCCACTTCTATGGTTGAATGCTGCACAGGTGTTTCGTGACATGTTAGGGCAGTTAATTGCATTTATAATTTTTAGAAGACAATCGTGATGGCTTCCCTTTTCGTAAGCCATGTACATGTATTTCTACGTCCTGTCGTCCTTTCACATAACTTTGTGTATCCGTACTAAATTGATGATAAACATTGCTGAAAAAATGCACTCCCATTACCGGTACTAACAATGTCACAGTAGAATAGCCTACACTACATAAATATCAGGGCGACGGGGAAGGAGGGGGGGGGGGGGGGGGTAGGTCATCCCTACATCGAATTTTACGCATAATTACAATACTGATTAAAAAATGTCCTTGTTTTAGACTGAAAAGACTAAAAACGATAATACTATAAAATACTTGATTCATCATGCGTCTTTCTTAAGCCTATAGGCTATGAAAACAATTTAACCCTAATAAGGCCGGAGGGAGGCCATTATGCCCCCTCCCTCCACAATTTTTCCGATTGCTCGGGAACGCATATAGATGGCGCCACGCCGCTCGCTGACTTTTTTCTTTCGAGTCTTGCGCAACTTTTGA